CTCGCGACGCGGGGAGAGGGCGCTGCCTCCTCCCGCCCGCGAGCTGTTTTCATTCATAACTTTCCCCAGCCCGAGCCGCTGCGGCTCGGTGTCCCTGAGGCCTATGTGCGGGCTCACAGAATTGTCCGCGCGCACCCGGCTGCTCTCCGGGCGGGTGCGGGCGCCGAGGTGCTCCGCCAGAGCGAACTTGCTTGGGAATGCCCTGTAAAATGCGAATTAAAGCTATGCCTGGGGGTTTCATTACTCAAGCCATTCCCACGTCTTCCTTTCTTGTGGATGAAACTTGGCACATTTAAAGTCTTCGTTTTGGAGTTTTAAGTTTTTTAAAATAGATAGGGCACGGGAGTAACGACTGGCTGTTTCCCATTGTCATTTAGGGGTTCGGTACTAAGACGTGCTGTTACGGATGTGTTTCTCGTGTTTGGGGAAGGTAGAATAAACTAGAGGGGCCCCCAAGAAGCTAAACATGTAGTCTAGGAGCATCCGTAGCAAACTGCTTTTCCTTGAGACGTTTTGTTTTCTTTTGGCACCTAATTCAAGTGCCGTCTTGAATTAGGGTGCATCTGTGGGTTTGGAGAGCATTTGTGTGAAAAATATCCTAGATACCTACTGCCCGGAAACGGGAAAGTCAACTTTTGCTCTGTTTTAGGACGAATGCATTATAAATTGTAAATTATTTCTTGACGTGAAAACGTGTTTGTTGTGACGAGATATTAGTGTGTTTACCTTATTACAAAAAGCAGCTCGATTCAGGGCTTGTTGAAAATCAAGGTCTGTGGTGTAGATGAATGAAAGGAAATAAAGATAATGCAGAGACTAGGGCTCCTCTCCCTGCTCTGTAGGTTTGACACTTGTGCATAGAAGTTATTCATGTTGGTGAGTGAGCCTTGTTTAACCTTTAAAGAACCTTCTATCCAGAGTTTGTGTGCATGCTCTAGCGCCAGCAAGACAGCTAGAGCCGCTGCCTTCTCCATTCCTTGTAGATTCTTTTTCTCATCTCACAGATGAGCTTTAGATCCGGACTTGTGCCCAAAACGGCCTATTGAGATTCACGTGAGCTTGGAATATCCAGTGTTTTGGAAATTGCCTTGATTAATTTTCTCATTAATCTAAAGCTCTTAACAGCGAACAAATGGCCAAGAGGCCACAGCACTAAAGCCATTCTTAATCTTTAAAAAGTAGCTGACATTTTCCTTACGTGAACTGCCAGTGAACTGATAGTGAACTCTCTGAGAACAGTTCCAGGGCGCGCACTGAATGCTCCCTTCGAAGGCATATTTCATTTTAATTATTTGTTAGGTTTGCAAACAGGAAGACATGACTTCCTCTGCTTTTTAGAAGCTGGAGAGCAACTTCTAATTTTTGTGGCATGAGGTCTTGCTTGCTTTCTTCCTGTGATGTGGCCCTCCACAATCCTTGTTTTTGGAGTTGGACTCCTGCCAGGATTCTGCATCATTGAAATCAGCCGATGGAGGCGATCATTGCCAGGTGGTTTGGGCAATTTGTTACTTACAGGCGCCCCCCTCCCCAAAATGCTTTCTCATTTATTTTCTCTCTCACTCTTCTTTAGGATTTCCGATGCATGCCAGGTTTCTGCTGACTGCCGGAACCGGAGATCACTCCACATGGATCCCCCAAGTCAGCATGGCAGCCACACTTCCCTAGTGGTGAGTCAGCCACCGCCTCTGGAAGGCCGTCAGAGGTTAGACTATGACAGGGACACTCAGCCTGCTGCAATTCTGTCCTTAGACCAGATCAAGGCCATCAGAGGCAGCAATGAATACACAGAGGGACCTTCAGTAGTGCGAAGACCCGCTCCTCGCACTGCACCAAGACCCGAAAAGCAGGAAAGGACTCATGAAATCATACCAGCCAATGTGAATAACAGCAACGAACACCGACCTGCCAGCCACTCCGGCAATGCCAGGGGCTCGGTGTTAAGCAGGTCAACTAGCACCGGAAGCGCAGCCAGTTCAGGGAGCAGCAGTAGTGCATCTTCCGAGCAGGGCCTGTTGGGAAGATCTCCGCCCACCAGGCCCATCCCCGGTCATAGGTCAGATAGGGTCATCCGGACCCAACCCAAGCAGCTGCTTGTGGATGACTTGAAGGGTTCCTTGAAAGAGGACCCCACCCAGCACAAGTTCATCTGTGAACAGTGTGGCAAGTGCAAGTGTGGAGAGTGTACAGCCCCCCGGGCTCTGCCCTCCTGTCTGGCCTGTGACCGGCAGTGCCTTTGCTCCGCAGAGAGCATGGTGGAGTACGGGACCTGCATGTGCCTGGTCAAGGGCATTTTCTACCACTGCTCCAATGATGACGACGGGGGCTCTTACTCGGATAACCCATGCTCCTGTTCACAGTCCCACTGCTGCTTCAGATACCTATGCATGGGAGCCCTGTCTTTATGCCTACCCTGCCTGCTCTGCTACCCTCCTGCCAAGGGCTGCCTGAAGCTATGCCGGGGCTGTTATGACTGGACCCACCGCCCTGGTTGCAGGTGTAGGAACTCCAACACTGTCTATTGTAAGCTGGAGAGCTGCCCCTCAAGGGCTCAGGGCAAGCCGTCATGATTTCTGGAGGTGGGTTAGACCTCCTGAATGTCTTGCTTCCGAACTGTGGCTGTTAAGAAACGTGGTATTTCTTCTCGAGTCTCTCCTGTCTCTGACGATCCTCAGAAGGAGTGGACTGTGAAACTGTGCCCAGCTTGCTCTCACCCCACCTCAAGGGTTCTGGGAGCTGGGAGTCCTATGGAGCCTTGTGCTCCATCAGGTTTCCAGCTGTGTCGTGAGGATGTGTGCACACCCAGACTTGGCTGAGAGATGTTTGGGGCCAGGTACTGTGGGATCAGGGACTTGGTGTGGTTTATTAAAAAGTAACCATGTAAGTGCTTACATAAGCTATATATTAATCTGCCTCTGATGAGAGCTATCTTAGCCTCCCACCCCCAAGTTGAATGGGAGGATCTACTCCTTAGAACACAGTTTGCTCTGCAACAGCTCGCTGCCCTCTCCCTCCAACCCTCAGATTCTCCCCCACAGTGTGCTGGGGAGATGCCAGTGGGTCATCCCCTTACACAGCCTTTTTGTCATAGTTCTGTATTCATTCTGCAATGTCGTCTAAACAGTAGAGATGATGTTGGCTAATCCTCCTTGTTCCTCCTCTAGTGCCCCGTGTCTGTGAAGGACTTCCCTTCCCACCCGCACTACACTGAGGGCAGTTGGTAACTAGTTGAAATTCCTGTCTGATCTGCCCCTAGGCTGCTCAGAGCTACAGTGCCCTAAGGTGCCATTGGCCTCTGACTGGCCTTTTGACTCTTAACAGCTGGGTGTTTCCAATCCTTCCTGTGTTTCCATTGCCTTAACCACAAATTGTGGTGCTTTTTTGTATAGTATATGTATAAATCACAAAGTTGAATCCTGGCTATTTTTAAGACAAAAGTCTGTTAAACTTTTTTATTGTAAAGAATATTTATTATGCGAATCTCTATTATTTTATGATATTTATTGCAAAAGACTGTTGAAATGTACTCATGTCTGAATATAACATATCACTACTTCATGAAAAACAAGGTGACTCGAAGAAAGTACATAAAGTACATATATGTTAACTACAATGCAGAAAATATATTAATTAATGAAACTGTCTCTTGAGTTCATCTTTTATTTTTCAGCCTGTGCTGCTGTGGAATTGTTACTTGATTTAAGCTCTTCAGGCTTTAAGTTACAAAGTGTAGGCACAGGAGACCTCAAGTTTTAAACAGAATGTTTGCTAAGAAGTCAAAAATCTATGGTCTGGATTGTTTCATCAAACACCCAAGTGTTACTTTGTAAAGTGAAGTTTTTTTTTTTTAAGATTAATGTTCCCACTTTATTTCATAAATATGAGTTTTGTTCATATCATAGTTATTTGAGATGAGGCGAAACTACGTTTTTTAAAAGTGTTTATCTTAACTCTATGGCCTTCAGAGATTAGTTTCCAACCATAGTGCTTAAATGATTTAGTAAGGTAAACATGCTAAGAACCTCTGGAACTGTCACTTTAACAAGTATTTTCATAATTAGGAATTAGGATTGCCAAAGAAAGCTCATAATATGCCAGAGAGCTGTCCAGGAACCTTCCTGTGGCAGCCTTGCCTTTTCCTTTGGTGGATGTCACCCAGCTGCTCTCCGTGTCCTATAAGCCTGAAGCTTCACATGGGAAAACAAAATTTTGATGCCTTACTATTGGGGCCAGTCAAGTGACTGTGGACCTGGAATAGTGAGGTCTGGTAGACTTTTGCATCTTAGATTTTTTTTTTTTTTTTCAGACCTCTGTTTCCCCAGGTCACTGACCTGGTCTTCTGCATTAGATAGGAGAATGGTGCTAATTCAAGTCCAGGTACCGGAAGCCACCCACCCAGCTTCCTGTCAGGTGGTTCCTTGTGTGTTCTTCATAGCTAAGCTTTCCTGTTTTATCAGTCAGGGTATAATGGGGGAAAAACTTGAAGTAGTTTTCTGTTAGGTCACTAAAGCTTCTGGTTGGCATTATGATATTTTGTAGTTAAATATTTTCTCAGCTCAGCCCCCAAGGGGAATTTTTAAATGAATATCTGTGTTCAAAGACTACTTTGAAATATGTAGTATTTCAAAATACCAACTTGAATATTTGTTTCACTGGTGTCTTAGTGTTTAGCATTTTCCTGAGCTGGTGCTTTACTGGAGCCTGTGAGCAGCAGGCTGTTCAAAGCTCTGGCTTTTTCAGTTGCTGTCAGACACTATGTAGTTAGGGACTTTGAGCTGTAGTAACCAAGCTAAGCAGCATTGGCTTAGTCTAAAAGCAGTCGAGACCTTTTCAGGGGAAAACATGCTGTATGTAGGGTTTTAGCACCAGCAGTATATACTGTGGGGTTTTACCACCAGCTGTATATTGTAGGGCTTTAGTACCAGCTGTAGACAGAGAGCTCATTGCAAGCCTGGTATTCATTCTCTGGTAACTTCAGTCTGCTCAGAAGTGACATAGGTTCAAAGCTGGGCCCTCCAGACAAGTCTGTCAGATTGGTAAAGAAAGATCTGATTCTTCGTAGATCAGAGAGCCTCTCTGTGATATTGTCGCTTGTAAGTTCTGGAGACTTGGGCTTTTGCACCTAACTAATACTGAGCACTGCCATGAACTTGACATTGTTGGCAGGAAGGGCACACAGGGCAAATGGCCTATGCTTTTCATTCTTACACTTGGCCATTCTACCTTTAGCTGGAACCCATGGCAGACAGGATGTCTTTAAAAAAAAAAAACAAAAAGCAAACAAAACACCTAGCTCAGGCTAGCCTTGAGCTTCCAGTCCTCCTGCCTCAGCCCCAAATGTGCTAGTATCGTAGCTGCACCGACCACTCATGATGCTAGCTTGGAACTGAGCAAATGGTTCATTTCTGGTGTATTTTCCTAATGTCAATTTTTTTTTCAATTCTAAAGACTTATTATTTACTTAGATAATTTAACTGAAGAGTAGAAGCCATGTGGGATTTCTGAATTGAGTAATACCCTGTACTAAAGCTTGTAAGATGTAACCCAGAAGGAAGGGGAAATAGCTAAAATAGACAAGTTCCATTCAATGAGGGCCTAAGGTGAATCTTTAAATATAGTTCTAGCTGGTACTTAAAAACAATGAGTGATCTTTAATGGGAAAGGAAATGAATTGAAAGCTAATCACCTAGGATGTTTTAAAATTTTTATTTGGAGTTGAACACAAATACTCAAATTGAAAAATTCTTTCTGAGCATAGAGGGAAAATTATTTATCAAGGAACATTAAAACAAGAGGCTTTATTTTATTTTGAAATTATCTTTCCATTAAAAAAAAGTGATGAAGTTTGTGGCAGATTTTATATAAAGAAAGCTATGTAAGAACACTGACTCCTTTCGGAATATACCAATTACTGAATCAGAAGTGTTTAGATGGGCCTTCAGTTAACACATTCCCACTGTGCTTTTGTTTTGTTTTGTTTTGTTTCTTTTCAGGTGCATGAAGATTTTTAAACATAAGCTTAAATTCTTCTTTGGGCTAAATGATAGTCGAGATCTGTCCTCCACTTACTCATGAGTATAGTACAATTAAAATGCCCATGAATATACCTGGCAGTTACTGTCATAGGCTCTCATTGCCAAGCTGTATTCATACACAGTAGACTGTTAGAGCTACAGATGGATCCCAGCATATACCTCTTCAAAAGTTGTTTATTTTGCTGTGTGTTTGATGGGGGAGAGGCATGGACATGCTGCAGTGCACAGGATGAAGGCACCAAGGCAACACCGTGGAGTCATTCTCTGTCCACTATGTAGGTTCCAGAGACTGAACTCAGAACACGGAGCATGGAGGCCAGTGTCAGCCAGTATATTTTAATGTTTTTCTATCAGGCATAAAAACAGGTTGCTGGTTAAACATTTTAAAATTCACAGGTATAGGTCAGACCTGTTCTGAAGATTCTCCAGAGAAGGGACCTGCACTGTTTCAAAAGGTTTCTGGGGTGACCATCAGGCAGTTTTGGAATGAACTCGGCTAGATTGCTGTCTTCATTTTGAGATGAAGCAAAGCCCTGGTTTCAGGAGGTGAAAGCCTGTGGTGTCTGGGGACTGGCCATGGCTCTTTCATACAGTATAGAGTTTTCCCCTCATTTTGCAGCCAACTCTGCCTTCTGGCTGTACATCACTTTTACTGTCTCAATCTTATTATCAGTCTTTGCTTCATAGTTAATACGCTTGACTGTGAGTTAAGAAGTGGACCCGTCTTCTCCATGTGTTTGCTCAGGTGCCAGGGACAAGAGGCAAATGGCTTTGTTGCTGTGGTTATTTTTCATGTGTTAACATTAAAATCAGCTTCAAGCTGATCCTGTGTTTGTCCTGTTATGTCTCGGTGATAATAGACCAGACAAGTTCATATGTTTGGCAAGAAGCAACAGCAACTTGGTGTATAGGTGTGAACTTGGATGTGGGTTCTTACCATTTTTTTTTTTTTCTGAGTGTTTTGGGACAACAGTGATCAAAAAGCTTCATTAAGGGTCCTTTGCTGCACCCTTAAAAGGATTGGTGTTACCAGTCAGGTAATTTCATGCTAGGCATGCTAATAATTCTAACTGCAAAAGCCAGTAGAGAGCTGACTGTTGAACTGGCTATTTAGTAAGATGTCCTGGCAGCACCACTTCTGGGAATCTGAGAACTATTCGGAAAAAGTCATCACGGAATCATAATTTTTGTGTAGAAAGATACTGAGCAGTCATGTAAGCCAGTCTTTATCTAGGGAACAAGAAGCCCAGTGCCAGATGGCTATTTACCTATAGTCATCATCTAATAGCCAAAATAAACTTTACTGCAAGACAAGTAAGCATAGCCATGTCTTCTGCATTTGTCTTCATAGCAAATAGCTGGAAGGAAGGTGAGAGGCCAGTGCTGGATGGGGAGATGGGGGTGCTGTATGGATGTTCCAGGTTAATTTACAATAAAATTGAGCAAATTTGTTAAAATAGCAGTAGTTCAAGAAAGACAAGCACTGGAAGCTAGACATAAAGGATAGAAGAAAACCCAACTCTTTGATTGCCAGCCAAAGATGCTAGTGTTACAGTCTCCTGAGAAGACATACCAGCAGCTGTATCACTGATGGGCAAAACCCTTCTACCCAAAATCTCTGAGAGGGAGCTTGGCTTTTGACTAAGAAACAGCCCCCATCACCCTAACACCGAGTGTGCAAATGTTCTAGAGATAGCTTATAGGCGTGTGTCTAGAAATTGTGAATGGAAAAGTAGAGGTCAGGTGAGGAGAGCAGCCCAGAGAAGGAAGGACTGGAATTGGTAGTTGAAATGAATGGAACTGGAAAAGCAAGGATATGAAGAACAGAAAGCCACAGGGCTAGGAGGCTGTTTATATGCGGGCTTTTGATGGAGACAATTGGGAATGATGGGAAGGTTTGGGGTCTTGGCAAGTGGGAGAATGGTGGCTCTGTTGAATGGATGTGATTCACTGTGGGTGGACTCCTAGAAGCTTTGAGAGATAGTCATGAAGCATGCAGGGAGAATGGCCAGTGGAGGCCATGGGAGAGGCCTGGTGACAGTGGGGGTGATAGGCTGAGAGGTATTCTGTTTTGGGGTTTTTTTGTTTGTTTGTTTTGTTTTTTGAAGCAGAGTCTCATGTAGTCCAATCTGACCTGGAGCTTACTGTGTAGCCGGCAATGACCTTGACTGTCTGATCCTCCTGCCTTTACTCCAGAGTGCTGGGGGTGTGTGCCCCTACTCTCTGCTTATGCAGTGCTGGGGGCTGAACCCAGAGCTTCCAGCCTGGGATGCAAGCACTCTCTGGACTGAGCTATCTTTAGCTTCAAGAGTTTTGGGAACTACCTACAGTTTAGGTGTCAGAGGGTGGTACAAAGCCAACAGGGAGAAGGTGGGGTACAGCCTTCGTGGCAGTGGTACAGCCACGAAGATCTGAAGACCAGACTTTCGAAGGAAAGTAGTAATAGATGTCAAAATCTGGCAACCAAACTAATGAAGAGTAATGATAAATAGTATAGTAAACTAATTAAAGAGTAACTTGCAAGCCCAAAGAAAGAAGAAAGGAAAGAACAAATGGATACCAAGAGGGAAGAGAGGAAGGCTATGGAAAAGTTGAGAAGACACAGACCT